TTTAATTGTTTTTATTATTAATTGAGAGAGGTGGAATATTTGTACTTAGAAGATTACAATTTAGATTTTAATATTTCAACTTTTAATATTTTTACTTATTAATTGAGAGACTATAAGTAGAATATTGGTACTTTCAAAAAAATGTATTTAATATTTAAAGATGAATATTTACTGGATTGAAGCAACTTCATCATTACTTGCATCGTATTCATTTAGAAAAATGACTTTAAAATGTATCAAATATGATCCTTCAGGCTTTTGAGGAACATTAATGTTGTAATTGCATTGCATTTTGAAACTACAGAGCATCGATCATGAAGCTAAGCATTGAATATCATCTTAGTAAGAAATATCATGGGAGATATAAAGTGATATAACTGATACACTCGCCCTTTAAAATTCATATAATATACAGTAAATATGCATTTAACCTAAAAATGGAAACTAACCAAATGCAGTTGTAATAGCCAATCGGAATACTTTTAAACTTTAATCAAAATGTTTCGTCTGAATCTGTTCATTCTGCTCAAAATAATCTCTTCTTTAATATTTCGTAGGGTGAGAAAATCCATAATGGCCACGAGGACATCAACCCAATCCCATATGAACTGATCAATAACCACAGAAGAGCAGAGGTTAGTAAAAATTATTATTATTATTTAAAAAAGACAGCATAATATGTGCTGTTGATTATGAATCTATATTCATATATCTATCTATATCTCTTGTTTCTTCTTCTCAGCCTGAGAAACAGATCCTGTTCGTCATTCAGGCTCTGATGGAGATCACTGTCCTCTTTGACGATGCCGTCGTCCCCTGGGATGCTAAAAAACGGGAAGATTTCTTAAATGTCATGCACGAGGAGATTGATGGACTGCGCTCATGTGTGAGTACAGTGTGTGTGTGTATACATATATTTAATACCAGCAACATCAAGCCAGAGGAACTGATTGATTTCTTTCTCAATGCAGGGGGCTTACAAAATGAAGAGGAACAAAAAGCTGCATCTGTATTTTGAAAGACTGAGACACGTGACAGAAATGAAGACGGTGAGATTTGAATATATAGCTTAATCCTCAGCTGTAAATGTGGAAGCTCATCTGAAGATGGACTAACTGTCGTTTTACTCTTTCAGGAGGATAGAGATGCCAGCTGGGAGATCGTCAGAAAACGGGTCATAAGTTTCATGAACCAGCTGGAGTTCTTCTCCTTCCACACTCATGTTTAATAACTGGACCTCTTGAAGCTTCACTCCATTTACAGAAGGAAAAGAAAAAGAATCAGTGTTGTTAATCAGTGTTTACACTCCTTTTTTATAATGTTCTTTTATACAGCAGTGTTTATTTATTGTTGTTTTGATTCCTTATGTTTTTTTTAAGATGTTATTTATATTAAAGATACTACATTTTAATAAATTATTTAAATTATTATTTATTTATATTATTTTATTTTGTGTAATTTAATATATTTTATACATTATGATTTTGCATACTAATATCTAAAGATTATATCCTTATTTATTAATGTCTTCTTTTTTAGCGGTTACATAAAATGCAAAAATGAAGCTATTACATTTAAAAAAAAAAAAAAAACTTTTTGTATTTCTGGCATCAAATAAAGAACTTTGAATGTTTTAATACATTTTGTGATTGCTACAAATATACCCCAGCGACTTAAGACTGCTTTTGTGGTCCAGGGTCACATATGACCGTTCAATTTTGTACAGATTTTAAAGAAATAGTTTTAAAATTTAAGATGTACTCCCCCTCAGTCTATCCAAGATGTAGACGAGTCCATTCCTTGATTGGAACAGGTTTGGAGAAATTCAGCATTCCGTCAGCTCATCAATGGATCCTCTGCAGTGAATGGGTGCCGTCAGAATGAGAGTCCAAACAGCTGATAAAAACATCACAATAATCCACAATCAATCCACACCACTCCAGTCCATCAATTAAGATCTTATAAAGTGAAAACAAGAAGAAACAAATCTATCATTAAGGTGTATAATTATGTATAGAGGACTTATATTTGAGCTGGAAGCAACAGTCTGAAGTCATAAACATCTTAATGATTTTTTTTCTTACAAACACGCAGCTTTTCACTGCACAAGATGTTAACTGATGGACTGGAGTGGTGTGGATTACTTGTGGATTGCTGTGATGTTTTTATCAGCTGTTTGGACTCTCATTCTGACGGCACCCATTCACTGCAGAGCATCCATTGGTGAGCAAGTGATGGAATGCTACATTTCTCCAAATCTGTTCCAAAGTAGAAGCAAACTTACATCTTGGATGGCCTGAGGGTAAACTACACAATGAAATTCTGTAAAATCTGTCAAATCAAATCTGGTGTTGGCAACTAGCATTGCCTCGTCTGTAAATCAGGGCAAACACCTGGGCAAAGTCAAGTAGCCTATTCCAAACCATAGACTGTATAAAAACAGGGATTGACTCCCTTTTGCGGCCAGCCTCTAGCGGCCAGTCGATGAATTGCAGTTTAAGTCACTTCCGTGTTGGCTTCACGAGAGAGAGCGGGAGGTTGCCGCTCGTTCCAAACATAAAAGATTTTAGTTTGTCTGAATGGCCATAAGATGGCGCACTTTCCCTCCATAAAGCTCTTACAGTAGCTTATTATTAGAAGACTGAACAGCCTGTATCTTTCTGACAGCCTTTCTGTATTTCTCTCCTTTAATATTTGTATTATCCTTTGTCTTTCAATTCAAGTATATACTTAATGCATGCACGCAGTCCAAATGTGGTTTGAGACCACTCAGAAAATCGGGGAGTTTTTAACCTGTTTAAACAAAACAAAGTTTTATAACTTTTTACAGTATAGAAAATTTTAAAACATACATTATGACATAAAAAAAAAAAAAATACATTTTAGGATTCTGTGTTTTACTAATCAAATAGCAAATTTGTTAAATCCTTGTACAGATGGTCAGATGTTCTTTGCAGATGCTCTTTCAAAGACTTGTGGCATACAATCAGAACGAATGCAAAGAAAATATACCAAACATTTACCAAAAAAAGCTGCTTTGTGGAAAACACCTGCTTATTTGAACAGATATGAAGTGAAAGTTCCCTTGAGCTTTAAACAGTTCCTTACCACTAGTATTTTTATAACCAAATGTGACATTTTTTGATTAGTAATACGCATTGCTAAGGACTTTATTTGGACAACTTGATTATTATTTTGATTTTTTTGCACCCTCAGATTCCAGATTTTCAAATAGTTGTATCTCGGCCAAATATTGTCCTATCCTAACAAACCATACATCAATGGAAAGCTTATTTATTCAGCTTTCGGATGATGTATACATCTCAATTTCAAAAAATGAACACTTAAGAATGGTTTTGTGGTCCGGGGTCACAAACAGAGAGCACCTTGTTATGAATGACTAGCAGAGTGACTAACAAACACACTCTAAAAACACTACCACATAATACACAGTACAGTAAAATGAATATAAACTCTAATAAAAAAGTGACAACAAACAAGCAAACAACAATAAAAACATAAGTTAAACGTATTACAATGTCTACAGATGATTGTTATTGTTGTATATGTCACATCCTCAACAAAAACTTCAAGCCTATAAATGTCATAATAATTTCGTGCTTTCCAAATAAAAAAGTTTGCTTTATAAGCAATTACTGTATTCACACACAGTGACGTCAGTCTGCCTACATCAGACTTTTCCAGCACAAATTGACAGTGGATTGGATGTAACTGCGAACATTTGTGTCTGGTGTTGATATCTGCAGATTAATAATCTGATGGATGTGTTTTTCTCACTCTTGGTCTGGGGACTCGACTTCCCACGCTGCATCTGTGTCCCGGGCTAAAGCAGTGATGTCCTCATACAGATCCGCACCGCCGCACTGCTCAATCTCCAAGCCCTGCACAGACACAGACACAGAGAGCACACAGATGTTTAGCAAAGTGGTAGAAGTCTTGAGAAGCAGTGAGTTTTTATTTATTAATTATTACGTTTCATTTATTATTATAACAAATATAAACAATTCTTCCATCAGGGAAAAGGCCAACAGTTCATTAGTGTTAGTAAATCATTTCAAATGAAGCTGAAGCAGAATCAGTCACTGGGTAATAACACACAGTAGTGTTATATTGCTAAATGAATCAGTGTTTTTTTGAACGAATCGAAGCAGTTTATTTCACAATTCTATAACTCCGTTGTCAAACAATGTAACGTGCACCAAGAGTCCCTGAAAACACTAATGTACAAAATTATGTTTTTTCAGTAAAATATCTATAAACATTCGTAAGATACATTTCCTTAAGAGGAAAAATGACATTAGATAGCCTTGTTTTCTAAAATATCTATTAAAATTAAGTGACTTTACACTTAAAACAATAAATATCTGCCAGTGAGTGAAAATGAAAAATCCTTGTTAAATGAAATTTATTCCTCTCACCTCATTGGTAGATTTTTTATTTTTTTTTAAACTTCATTTTAGGTATAAACTCACTTAATTTTGCAAATTTTGGACACCTACCAAAATTAGTGACTTTATGCATAAACAACAACAACTGCCAATGTGGTAAGAAAAATAAAACTTGTTTTCCCTTTAAATTAATTTTTTTATTTATTTTAATTTGATTATTTTTTTTACCCCACTGGCAGATTTTTTTATTTTTTATTTTGTATAAGGGTCAAAGACGAAAAAGGGTTTAAGCATAAAAACAAGTGTAATACTGCTTTAAACTGTTGTTGTTTTTCCCCCGTAGACACTTTACTTACATTGAATGTGCTTTCTATGGACATAAAATCACTTTTGTAAATTTCTTTTGAAGCGGACATCTTAACGTCTTTGACCCATAAACTAACTTAATTTTGATAATTTTACAAATTTATCAGATTTAACAAATATCTGCTAATGGGGTAAGACAAATAAAACTTGTTTTCACTTTGTATTAAGTTTCTTTTTTTTTTTTTACCTTATTGGCAGATATTTTTTCTTCATTTTATGTTAAAACTCACGTATTTTTACAAATTTCTTTCCGAAAACAAGACTTAATAACTTAAGTAGCTTGCTTCTCAAGTAAATGTGTCTTGATTTAAGGTTTAAGAAGGTTTAGATATTTGTACAGGAAAACAAGTCAAAAATACTGAGAAAGAAAATCATTTTTGCGTTGTCTGGCAGAGACAAACAGGGTGATACAAACAGTGAAATGTCCCAGTACACTCTCTGAAAAAAAGGTACAAAAGCTGTCACTGGGGCGGTACCTTTTCAAATGGTACATCTTTGTACCTAAATGGTCCCTTTTGGGCTCTTGAAGGTACATGTCAGTCCCTAAATTGTACATGTTAGTACCTAAAAGGTACAAAAGTGTACTTTTTGAAAAAGGTTCCACCCCAGTGACATCTTTTGTACCTTTTTTTCCTGAGAGTGCACCAATGGACTGTTACATCAATACTCTTGGAACGCCGCTCGGCCAGTCAAATTCGACTAGAATTTGGAGAGGTTAGTAATCCTCCAGTTTTTTTTTATTTTTATAAAATCACAAGAATAAATTCATGCATTGTGTATCACAACAGACCATGCATGTTTTCACTTCCGGAAGTGCATGCAACAGAGCTAAAAACTCAACCAACCGTAAACCAACACAATGACAGTAACAAACTGAGCAAATTAACCAAAACACTCACCTCATATATGTGATCATCCTCAGGCTCTTCATAAACTGCATCGTCTTTCTTCTTCTGAAACACAATGAGAAACCGCTGTTAGATGGCGATAAAAATTGTAATGATAAGGTGCTGTATGTAAGTTTTTGACTGTACTAAAGCATAAAAATACCATAATATGTTTGCAGATATTTAAGAAACATGCTAAGTTAACATACTTGTTTATCTGAAAAACAATGCGACAGTCAGTTATTCTCCTTTGAAAATGTACGTTCCAGGCCGGAAAGTTTGTCTTTGTTTTGGTTTGTGAAACCCGCCCACTGCCAGTTTACCCAACTGTATTTCGGCACCCCGGGTTGCCAGTTGGCGGCATTTCATTCATGGTTAAGTGCGCTTGTTCCTGTTGGTGTCTCAATCTGGCAACCTGCGTGTGGTCAAGTCTGAGGAGGAGGGGCCGGGTGAAAAAAACCCGCTCCAATATTTTGAATTTGGATTGCAATACCTAGTTCAACCACTCGGTCATTTTTGGGTGAACTAACCCTTTAAGTGCACAAATCAATCTGTGGAAATTCTGTGGCCCTTACCAGTCTGTAAAACTGAACCAGAGGAACGACGATGCACAAAATCAACAGTAAAGCCTGAAGGAAAATGAAAACATCCTTGACTCTCGATCTCATCAAGATAGTCTGGGGTTCAGTGTATCCTGGAGAAGAAACAGCGAGAGGAATACATGTATACAGGGCAGGCTAGTGAAGAAAGCTAGTGAAAAACATTGACAAATTGACACCTACTGGACACTTGTAGCTCAGTTCCCGGTCCAAGCATGCTGTTCAGCTTGCAAAAATAAGTGCCGCTGTCCTTGGTCTCCACTTTCTTTATGGCAATGGAGGCATTTATTTTATCACTCTTCTCCATTATCGATATTCTTTGGCTGTTCTTGAGCTGGTCTTTGTAAGCCTGGCCTTTAAACCACTCTACATGAGCAGACAAAGACGGATTCGACGGCACACAGTATATAATCACAGTCCGACCCGTCTTAACGCCAACAAATCTTGGCTTCTGGAACACATGGATATTTTCTTCAGCTGAAAAGATGAGATGGATGGAGAGAAAACATGCGAGACAGAACCGGTTTAATATCGCAGGTATTAAGGTCATTTTCACGTTACCAGCAGAAGTAAAACCAAGAAACATGCTTTCATTATGAAAGACACTAAACAGCAAGGATTATAAAACTGCATGAACTTCATGAACTGTTTATTGTTAAAAAAGGATATCTGGCAAATGCAAACTTGTTTTGAAGCGATGAGACTTCCTCTTTCACTCACAGATGGAAAGGAAGAACAATACTTAAAACAAGCCTAAGGCAACTGTAATATGCAAACTGTTATCCTGCAACCTTCAAACGTGCAACAAAAATCATATGAATCAATCGTAAACTACTGCTATCCTAACAAATTTCCACCCAGAAGCTAAAAAGTGCACCAAATGTTGCATTTCAGTACAGTAACTTATGTAAAAGTCAAACACAACAGCAGTTTTTAAGGTCTTAAGCGGTCATATTTACCTGAGAGGTAAATCAGCGCCATGACTGAAGATCCCAGCAGGAAGTAATGCATGATTCTTGATCCTGAAATGCTCCTCTCCAAGAAAGTGTAGAAGTCAGCGCAGATCACATAGACAGAACAGAAGGAAGTCAGCTCCACCAGAGTGAAGGGTGCAGGTCATGAAGCTGCGATGATACGAATCCGTTTCAGAGAAACATGCAAATCGATACACTCATGCATCAAAAGGTGAAGGAACGAAGTGAATCATCTTAATGCTAAATATAAAGACTGATATAGGCTACTTCACCATGTATGTACAATCGTGATTAATGTCAACCGTTTATGCATCACAAAACCAGATTAATATCAATGGCTGAAAATTACCAGTATGTTTTCTGTTAAGTTTAAATGCATTTCCTTTAACCCTAAAACAGAATGCAATGCAATGTGCAATTCAAAATACATTGGAAACCCCTGTGAAGAATCAACATGAAAAATTTCTAAATATTAACATGGTCAGCCTACATTAGGCTGTATTATTACAGACTTTCTTAGAGTGTATCATACGCTCACAAAAAAAAAAGAAATTAGCCATTGCAAATGTTATACGCCCACAAAGAGTTAAATGCAAAAGTCCTGTTACATATATTGCCTTATGCAATAAACAATTACTTAAGAAGATTCAGCTGTGCAAATAATAGCTGCTATACTGAAAAATTATGACATTTTACTGACTATAAGTAACTTTGCAAGTACACTCTTAAAAATAAAGGTTCCAAAAGGGGTTTTGCAGCAATGCCACAGAAGTGAAAAAAATGAAAGGTTCCATGGATATTAAATGTTCCTTATGGAACCGCTAATGCCAAAGAAGAACCTTTATTTTTAATAATATGTACATGTCAACTTCCAGTCAGGTGTTTTGAGTGGCCCTCCAGGAGCAATGCTATGTGCACATTGATCTGGATAAATTTAATAACATTTTGAAATGTTTTCTAAAAGTTGCAACATTATTAAAGTGAATAGCAGGCACAACAATATTGGTACAACCATAGATATGCATTGAAACAATGTGCATCACATGACTAAACATGAATAATGGTTTATACACTTAGGAGAACAGCTTCAAAAAGCTCAATTATTGCTGGACAAAATGCTGTCTCAGTGTAGATGAAAGTCCAAAACAGAGAGAATTTTTTTTTTTTCCAAATTTATCCAGATTAATGTGGACGTAGCCCAAGACTGGACACCCTTGGTTTATTATATTATATTTTATTTATTACTTACTTGCAGTTGCCTGTGTTTTATTGTTTGCCGTTTCTGATGGTTGCCAGGCAGTATTTTGTTGTGTTGCACAATAACAATAAAGTGTCTTTAATTTCAATGCACAAGTTGGTGCTTTCCATGCGATGCAGTTTATTTATCACAGTCATTGAGCTGTGTGAAAAGTGTAGCACTCAGCAGCTGTAACCACACTCACTCACGCTCAACTATCAGTTAAAGTCAGAACAGGCAAGGAAGGCAGTGTAGCAACAAATAATGGTTAACTGATGCGGTAATCATTTTAACATAGAAACCAGTAATTCTGTACACTGTAAAAAATATTTTTGAAGCTGTAAATAAAACAAATATTCCTGGAGTATATTTTAAAAGAAAATACTATTTCATTTTTTTTTTATACTTCAAAATTTCAAGTTTAATTCAATGTTACTTGCTTGTAATTTCTTTGAATTTTTTTGTAAAATGTACTAGCAATTTTTCTCACTTTTGGGTACAAATTTGTCCCCAAATTATGGTTAAGTAGGTACACACACACACACACACACAAAACACTTTACTGCCCCAGTTTCTGATTGACTCAAAAGCTGTGGGAACAACGACTATCACCTAAATCATATCTAGAAACAGTAATGTTTGTGAAAAAGTTGTTTGTCCAGTAAAAGATTTTGTGCTAGTAAACATTTTTGAACAGTAAGACCGGTCAACAATATTATTCTTTCTCCCATCAGTGAATGTGCTTGTGAAAGCTAAATTATCCCCATAACACAAATGCCAATGTATAGATCACTGGATTCCAAACTTATTAAGACTGGTTACCTGAGGTGAAGACATCTCTAGCTGGGGGTAAAAATAGAAGGTGTGAAACAAGAACAGCTATCCGAGCAGGGGCCACTGTGACACACAGAAAAAGTCATATGGAGCACAAGTCGAATGGAAAAAAATGGTCTTGATAAACACCTCTGGGAAAACATGTACACAAACAACACATGATAGCATGCTAAGACTGTAAACTCAACTAAATCCCACCATGAGATGAAGTGTGATACTGAAGAACTGCAATCTGAGACTGCAATTCAAACCTTTAATGCATGAAGAGAAGCACATTTATCTTATCAAATTTATTTTAAATGTACATTGAATTAAATGTTGTCAAGTGATGATACAAAGAAAAGACCGCATCTGAGAAATACGCTTCTATCTGCAAAGTATATATATATATATATATACAGGCAATGAGGCTAGCAAATCCTAAAGCACTGCAATGTCTCTCTCCGTGATAAAAATGTAAACAACAGAAAATTATTTGCATATTAACAATATCAATATGAAACCAAAAGTGCACAAAACTGCCCACAGATTACATACAAGCTGATGAGGTTTTTTTTCTCAAAAAAAGTAATTCTCATTTGAACATATAGTAAACTAATGCTTTTTGGTAATAAGAGACCAAATCTAAAAACTATACAAGAGGTAAATATAAATATCTCAAAGTGCTTCATTTATGAGTTTTAAGAAATAAGACATTTGCAGTCACATTAAGACTTCAGAGGAAATCCCTCATTAAATGTCTCTAATACATACAACTTCTAGCTATGATGACTCACAGGTACTAAAACACTGAACATACTTTGGGGATTATTAACTTGATAATGTTTTAAAATGGCCAATTTTCAATTTTCAATTTAATTAAAGGAATTCAAAGGAAGGTGTAAACATCACAACCATATCTCAGGTAATAAATATGAATTTCAGCTAGATATGAATTAGATAAGAATCGTGTGAGGCATCTACTGGACACTTCAGGCTCTTTTTATAAAGCAGTTATAAAGCAGTTACAGGGTAATGCCCTTGCCTGGACAAAGAAAAATAATCTGACGCAACTTTGCAACAGTTATCAGGGGTACTCTAAATTTCACAAATTATTCATCAATTTATTATAATGGACACTATGATGCTCGATTCACATCGGGATATTAGTGCTGTGCTGTCTCTGTGTTAAATACAGTTAAATGGATGGGGTTATTCTAACTAGGTTTACTTAACTTCTGAAATAACTTCTGAATAAGAACATGAAAACTGCATTTACTTTACAGGCTTGGTAGATTTTCAGCGATCTCAAGTGACAATCTAGCTGTTTTGACTACCAGGGCATTAAAAGGAATTGCTACAATTACACAATGCTTTTAATGCTTCAAGTTATATTAATTACAAAATATATAAAAAAAAATGTTTAGTACAGTCACTGGGGACTACAGCTGCACTGTATATATTTTTCATAGTGGCATATTCCGCTCAAAGATTCTCTGGACACTAAATATTACTAATTATTCCCAAAAGGCTGAACTTTAAATTCATCACTGCAACAGTGGCAAAATTTCAAAGTTGTGTGGCCACTTTCACTTAAATGGCTGTAACTCTTGAATGGAATGAGATATTTTCACCAAACTTGGCACATTTGTGTATGGGTTCAGTCTGAGGTCATGTGGAAAGAATTGCAGCACTTAGCCACTTGGTGGCGCTATAACAGGGAAAAAACCCGCAAACATATATACGTATAAGGGCAAAAGAACCTGGCTAAGTTATGACAAATATACTGGGACATTTCTAATTGGGATCAAACAAAATGAATCCTAAATGAAACGGGTCTAATAAAAAACAGTACTTCCAAGAAATAGCATTCCAATGCTGTCACACTGTAGCAGTCCCGTGTAATCCTTTAAGCCGTCTTGTTTTTGGAGCATATGTTGTTCAGTGAGTGCAGGTGATACTCCATTTTACATCACAAGGATTATCTCAGTCCACAGGCATTGTCCACCAGTTATACTATTGACTCTTTTATTGTTGCATTCTCTGAACTGCAGAGGCCATGTGTCGTGGGTGCAGACCGGAGGATCACCTCACTTGTGAGCTCCACTGGAAGTATGAGTTGTCCCTGTGGTCGAGGGTAGGTTATGGATACTCTGTGACCGAGGTGGGCTTGGGTGGCTGTGCATAAGGTAGCATCGGCCTAGCCTGCAGCTCAAGAGCCATGGCGAGTTCTGGATTGCTGCCATACAGGGCATCCATTTTCCTTGCAATTAACCCTTTGGTTTCAGGAGGTTCTTCATTGTTTTGACTCCTGACTTTCCTCTTTGAACGATGCATGAAGCATGCATACCGGATAGCACGTTTGAGGAGATGTCTACGGTATGTTCGTTGAACCACAGTGGCTGCGCGCTCTTCCTCTTTCCTCCTGAGAGTGGTGTTGATTGGATCAAAGGAGGCAGATGTGGGATTGTTCATTGTGAACTTGGCTTCAATGCTCTCCTTCATGGCAGCCATCTCAATTGTGTCGCCAAGAACCTCACGGGTAACTGCCAAAAGAATATCCAGACAGTGGAGTTTGTCGCCGGTTACAATGGGTAGATCCATGGTGATTAGTTTAAGGCGGTTGGGTTTGGCAATTCGTAAAGGCTCCTGCAAGGCATCGACGAAGTCAAACAAGCGGCTGTACTCAATGAACTGTGTACCATCAACGTCAAACTTTTCCCATGTCTCATCGAACATCTCAAAATCATCCTCACAGAGCGGGTCTCCACTCTCCTCTTGAGCAACGTTGAAGTTCTCAAGAATGATAGCAATGTACATGTTCACGACCACCAGGAACGACATGATGATGTAACTGCAGAAAAACATGATACCCATGCCAGGATTCCCGCAGTTACCCCGAACGTCTGTACCTGGGTTCTCTATGTCAGGGTCACAGTCTGGAGGGCCGCTGTTCAAAATAGGCAGCAGAAGCCCATCCCAGCCTGCCGAGGTTGTGATCTCAAACAGGCAGATGATGCTGCCGC